GAAATGCAAATCAAAACTACATTGAGATACCATCTCACGCCGGTTAGAATGGCGATCATTAAAAAATCTGGAGACAACAGATGCTGGAGAGGATGTGGAGAAATAGGAACACTTTTGCACTGTTGGTGGGAGTGTAAATTAGTGCAACCATTGTGGAAGACAGTGTGGCGATTCCTCAAGGACCTAGAAATAGAAATTCCATTTGACCCAGCAATCCCATTACTGGGTATATATCCAAAGGATTACAAATCGTTCTACTATAAGGACACGTGTACACGAATGTTCATTGCAGCACTGTTTACAATAGCAAAGACCTGGAACCAACCCAAATGACCATCGATGATAGACTGGATAGGGAAAATGTGGCACATATACACCATGGAATATTATGTAGCCATCAGAAACGATGAGTTTGTGTCCTTTGTAGGGACATGGATGAACCTGGAAACCATCATTCTCAGCAAACTGACAGAAGAGCAGAAGATCAAACACCGCATGTTCTCACTCATAGGCGGGTGTTGAACAATGAGAACACATGGACACAGGGAGGGGAGCACTACACACTGGGGTCAGTTGGGGGGAAATAGGGGAGGGAGGGTGGGGGGTGGGAAGCTGGGGAGAGATAGCAAGGGGAGAAATGCCAGATGTAGGTGATGGGGAGGAAGGCAGCAAATCACACTGCCACGTGTGTTCCTATGCAACAATTTTGCATGTTCTTCACATGTACCCCAAAATGTAAAATGCAATAAAATAAATGGGGAAAAAAATAATAATAATAATTAAAAAAATAAATAAATAAAAAGTGTTCCTATTTCTCCACATCCTCTCCAGCATGTGTCGTCTCCAGATTTTTTAATGATCGCCATTCTAACTGGCGTGAGATGGTATCTCAATGTAGTTTTGATTTGCATTTCTCTGATGACCAGTGATGATGAGCATTTTTCATATGTTTATTGGCCTCATGTATGTCTTCTTTTGTAAAGTGTCTGTTCACATCGTTTGCCCACTTTTGAATGGGCTTGTTTTATTCTTGTAGATCTGTTTTAGTTCTTTGTAAATTCTGGATATCAGCCCTTTGTCAGATGGGTAAACTGCAAAAATTTTTTCCCGTTGTGTTGGTTGCCGATTCACTCTAATGACTGTTTCTTTTGCCGTGCAGAAGCTTGGAGTTTGATTAGGCCCCATTTGTCTATTTTGGCTTTTGTTGTCAATGCTTTTGGTGTTTTGGTCATGAAGTCCTTGCCTATGCCTATGTCCTGAATGGTTTTGCCTAGATTTTCTTCTAGGGTTTTTATGGTGTTAGGTCTTATGTTTAAGTCTTTAATCCATCTGGAGTTAATTTTAGTGTAAGGTGTCAGGAAGGGGTCCAGTTTCTGCTTTCTGCACATGACTAGCCAGTTTTCTATCTTTGGCAAGTTTTTAAATCCCTGAATCTCAAACTCCTCAACTAGACATAAGAATTGCCACGAAAATTACAAGCAAGGCACCTGGCACCAATGTGGCCACAGAGCTGGCCTTCAGTAAATAGTAGGCTACAGTGATGATTCATATTGCATTCTTTTTTTACCCCCATGTTTATTACATTGACCTCACTTTCAAGGCTTTTCATGTCCTCTGTTCCAATAATGGAAATGTGGTTTGACCATGTAGAAGTCAGATTGAGGCAGATGACCCAACAAGGAGTTAGAACAATAATCAGGAAACTGAAGAGTGAGTGAGAAAAATACTAAACATCTTAGTTCATCAGGATAAGAAAATTAAGAGCATTGCTGGAAACCTCAGACTATGGTATTGAAACTATACCGACACTTAGTCCTTGACTTTTGAGACTGACTCTGCCATCCAACATTTGCATGATTCTTAGAAACTATAAAAAATACCAATTTTGAATTTTCAGGGGAGGAAAACAATATTGCATCTTTAAATGAGTTTGTCTTTAGAATTTCTTTTAGAATTTAGCCCTATGATTGGATTTCACTTTTTAGTTTTGTATTTCAATACTGTATAAGAAGCACCTTTGTTAAGTGAATAAACTCCCTTTCAAATTTTAGATAATTGGTCTTCCAGAATTTATACACTAAGTTGATTGTTTATTTCATTTTTTAAGACGGGGTCTCACTCTATCACCCACACTGGAGTGCAGTGGTACAATCATGGTTCACTACAGCCTTGATCTCTCTGGCTCAAGCACTCCTCCAACCTCAGCCTCCCAAGTAGCTGGGACCACAGAGATAGACCACCATACCCAGCTAATTGTGTGTGTGTGTGTGTGTGTGTGTGTGTGTGTGTGTGTGTGTATGCCCGCACACATGTGAATGCACAAAGATACAGTCTCCCTGTGTTGCCCAGGCTGGTCTTAAACTTCTGGGCTCAAGCAATCCTCTTTCTTTGGCTTCCCAAAGTGCCTGGATTACATATGTGAGCCACCATGCCCAGTTGATTGGTTGATACCAATAATAATACCGATCCCAAATGATTATTGTTGTAAGGTTTAAATTAAATGTTTAAGTGTATGTGAAACCTGGCACGTACTATGTGCTCAATAAATGTTCATTTACTTCCATTGTCGCATAATGTTACTCAACATAAGTTTTTTTACTTACTGCAAATGTTTTGAAGAAAAATGTAAAGAAATAACATTTCTTCAAATTGATAGTGCAAACTGTAGGTTTCTTTATCTTGCAAACTTTCTTTTAATTTAAAACTACCATTAACCTAAAGAAAATCTCTAAGAGAGACATGGAGCTAAAATTTAGTACTTTGAAAATACAACATGCTTCAGTATTAGGGATTTGCTTTCTCAAAAAGTTTTGAGTAAGTAACAAAATATTTGGAAGCCTATTAACATTGGAATTGGATTCTGAAAAAAAAAAGAAATAGGTTTCAAAACTATCAAAAATTCTAAATTACATCTATTTGGGGGCAAGAAAATAAATCTAGCTAAGTCTGGATTTTATTCTAAGAGGAAACTATTTTTTGCCCTTTAACATAAGTCTCACAGGGATCAAAACGAAAGTCAATTTAGAGGAAATCTATTTGGAAACAAGCTGAGTCCCACGCCCTGGGAGCAGGCAGTGCAGTCTCCACCAGCCCCGCCTCCAGGGACTGAGTGACCACAGTGTTTTAACCCTTAGTGGGCATTGTTCTGGAAACTGGAAAAGGACCCATCTTATTCCAAAAGGCAAGTTTAATATTTTCAATGAATTCAGGGTAAGAAAACTAAGCGGGTTGCCTCTTATTTTCGCATAGAAACTATATTCCTATGCAAACACTTCCAGCAGAACTTTTATTTTGGGTTCTCAATAAAAGAGAATGACAGAAGTATTGTTGGAGAGACACAGTGAAATTACTGTGGAGAATGTATAATGGCTCCGGGGCTGACTGGGAGAAAATGTGTCCAGTTCCTGGGTCAGAAAAGATAGTGATCATCAAAAATAGTTTCCAATATCTCATATAAGCAAAATGTATCTAAATGCAGGTACTGTAGGTTAAGGGAGAACAATGGGTAAATGTAAACATCAGGTCTTCACTTTAAAATTCATCTTGACTTCTGGGTTTATGCATTTGAAAGAGCATTAGTGGGGTTAAGTACATTATAAGGCTAGGGGATTGAGACTGAATCTTTTCTAATTCTGTAGAAAATGCAATTTCCAGAATATTTAAACATAAAAGTTAATGGGTTAACCATGAGAATAATGGCAGAGAATTTACCCTTTAATTTTTTATTACAGATTAACAAATTTTTTATTAGGAACAAATATTTTTAATAAATGAGTACATCTGAAAAATAAGGCAGTCAAGCATTGCTTTTTAGCATGAAGACATACCAATTCTAAAAACTGCCCTATGTTTGTTAAAATTGCAAAATAAGTATTTTACAACCGTAAGATCATACATAAGAAAAGACTGAATAACATGATAGGGCCATGACTTTGCTAAAATATTGGTTGAAATAATAAGAAAGAAAATTCTACATATGGTTAAGGTCTCAAGAATCTATTTTTAAAAGATTTTAGAGGAAGCCTGGAAGAAAATCCACTAAAGTGTTCTTGATCGTTGCCTTCAAATGGTGGTGTCATGGTGGAATTTTTTCAGCTTTATATTTCTATTTCCATATTACATATAATCTGCATGCTTTATTTTTACAATCCTTAGGGGGAATAAAACAAACTTTCTATGAAATTATAATATAGAAGTGTGCATATTTCTATTTCATTAGAGATGATATTCATATACCAAAAATTTGCTTTCTCTCCTTTTCTTTTTACTTGCTAATTTACTCTCATCTTACCAGGATTTTAATTTTTTTCTTAATCTGAGAATTTTACCTTGAAAGAAGGAGCTCTACCTTTTTTTTTCCTACTCTAAAACAGTGTTTGTGCTTTTTTTCTGGACTCCAAATTAGATGCCTTCCCCAAAGAGATTTCAAAGGCCATAGCAAAAAAAAGCCTCCATCGTGGCCCTGCTAGCACAGTCCCTGTTACTTTAAGAGTAGCGTTCCGCCTCCCCCTCACACCCACATACTTGTCCTCTCTTTGCACAGCAAGTGCCAAGCAGTGACATCTACTATAGTTTCTAGGACACGATGGTCTCTGCTCTACAGGGTAAAAAAGGGAGCGAGCGGGAGAGAAAGAAGGCGGGTGGTGAGGGAGAAGGAGCACAAGCCCAGCTATGTTCCCAGAGGAGGAGTCACTTCCTCGCAATAATCCTGAGATGCTGTTTATGGCTGTTCTACTGATATGAAGGCCAGAGCGGCAGGACGCAGCCTCCCCCTGGCTGTCCATTAATCACGAGGGGCTGTTAGAGTGTACAGAGCGGGAGTTCCGCCTACGAGTGGCCTCTAACTGTCTCCAGCTCAATGAAATGAACCTGTGTGAAAACTTGTTTTATGAGAGATTGGTTTATTTGTAACTAAACTACTTCCTCTGTTATTTGATAAGCTCAAATATTTGCTACAGATAGTCTGAGAGTGTCACATTTATTATCCAGTTTCAGCTGTTGCCTAACTCCTTTGGAACTGACTCCGTTAACTCTTTGAGGACAGCAGTAGGTTTTAGAGGATCAGCTTCTGTTTTCTTTCAGCAAAGCCAATGCCATCTTTCAGGCATGAGTCAGCATTATTCTAGAACACCTATGACATGTGAATCAAAAAGAAGCTTTTCTCTTCTAAAACAGAGCGCAGACGGGAGAAGCAGGAGGCTCTGATAAATTCCTTGGAGGTTCTGGAGCCACCGTGAAAAGGAAGGGAAGGTATTCTGACTTACTAATACAAATCTAAGATGGTTTTGCACGTACTACTATTCTGAAATCACACATTTTAAATATGTTCAGGATGACTTTCTATAGTCTCTTAAACCCTCAAATATCATTTCTGCAGGGCATGATCTTTCTAAATCCAGCAGCATTATGCATCGTGACACTTGGCCTTTTGGAGTCTGAGCTCATTTGCATTTGGCAGGACTTGATTTCCTGCTTAGACAGAACAGAGGTAAGGTGGTGGTGAAAGCCTTTACAGTACTCCCTCGAAGAGCTCAGAGGACTTTTTGGGTATATAAAATTATGTTTCCAAGAATTCTATGGACCAGAATGAGGCAGATTTTGTTTGAAACCAGGCTCTGTTATAATGGAACATATTCGAAAAACCTACACTGAAGTATCTCTCCTGACAGACCCATACTGGGACTATTTTTCAGTTCTGTCACTCTCTAACCGGCTACACAGAGCTCTCAGTGAATGCAGAAGAGGCTGAGGAAATAACCACTTATGTGTGGCAAAATGTTCCAGCCTTGCAGAGATTTTCCCAAAATCATTAGACCCACCAAAATGCTTTCCAGTGGCCAGGCCCACACCTTCTTCATCAGATTTTCCATACTACTCCTCCAGCCTCCAAGTACTGTCCATTTGTATTTCCTAAGAGAGCCAGTCATTTATAGCTGAAAATGTAACCAAGTTTACTCTCATAAACCAGAGATCTCCTTGCCTATTAACCAGAAAAGAAAAATAGTGTTTTTCCTAACTCATTTCAAGACGATCAGAATATGAAGATCCATTCATACCTACTTCCTCCCAAAAAAGAGGTGAACTGGGGCAGCTACACTCTAAGGGCATATAGAGGTGAAAATATGGAGAGGAAGAGAGCCAGGTAAATCTGCTGTTCCATCATGGTGAGCTGGGGAAGGGGTTAAGGGTTAATTGCATGTATCCCACCTCTGGTCTCTTTTAGGCCCTATTCTCAGCAGGTGGCTTTCCTGCCTCACTGCTCCGACTGCTTATCAGTGGAACAAAGTCTGGCCCTGAATAATGGCCTGAATTGTCATCTGCAGTAGATTTAGATTCAGAAATAGTCAACTAATGTGTTAAATACATTTTGCTTTGTAGTTCTCCTATTCCTTTCTTCATTTTGTTTTTTTAATTTTTTTTAATTGTAGCAAAAAATACATAACATGTGACCTACACTCTCAACGAATTTTTTTTTGAAACAAACTCTTGCTCTGTCACCAGGCACCAGGCTGGAGTACAGTGGCGCAATCTAGGCTCACTGCAATCTCTGCCTCCTGGGTTTAAGCAATTCTCCTGCTTCAACCTCCCTAGTAGCTGGGACTACAGGCGCACGCCACCATGCCCAGCTAATTTTTGTATTTTCTAGTAGAGACATGGTTTCACCATGTTGGCCAGGATGGTCTTGATCTCTTGACCTCATGATCTGCTCAGCTTGGCCTCCCAAAATACTAGGATTACAGGTGTGAGCCACCACACCTGGCACTCTTAACAAATTTTTAAGTGCAGTACAGTATTGTTAACTCTAAACACACTGTTGTACAGCAAACCTCTAGAACATTTTCGTCCTGCATGACTGAAACTTTATACCCATTGAACAGCAACTCCTTATTTACTCTCCCCTCATCCTCTGGTGACCATTATGATACTTTCTTCTTTAATGACTTTGGCTACTTTAGATACGACATGTAGGTGAAATCATGCATTATATGTCCTGCGACTGGCTAATTTCGATCAAGTAATGTCCTCAAGTTTCATCCATGTTATAGTGTATGGCAAGATTTCCGTTTTTATGGCTGAATAATAATTCATTTTTTGTATATAGCCTGTTTTCTTTAACCATTCATTCACTAATGGACATTTAGATTATTTCCAACTCTTGGGTACTGTGAATAGCTGCAATGAACATAGGATTGCAAGTATCATGTATTTGATAAGGAGTTATATTTAAATTATATAAGGAACTCCTATAACTAGTAGCAAGCAAACATATAGCTAAATTGAAAAGTGGGCCAGGCCAGGGAGGGTGGCTCACGCCTGTAATCCCAGCACTTTGGAAGGCCGAGGCAGGTGAATCATAAAGTCAGGAATTCAAGACCAGCCTGGCCAAGATGGTGAAACCCTGTCTCTACTAAAAATACAAATTTTAGCCAGACGCAGTGGCAGGCGCCTGTAATCTCAGGTACTTAGGAGGCTGAAGCAGGAGAATTGCTTGAACCCGGAGTGGGGAGGGGTGCGGGGGGCAGGCACGGAGGTTACAGTGAGCCGACATCGCACCCATACCAGCCTGGGTGACAGCAAGACTCTGTCTCTGTCGCAAAAAAAAAAAAAAAAAAAAAGGCGCGGGGGGGGCAAAGGGCTTAAATAACTTGAATTTATATGTCTTTAAAGAAGACATGCAAATGGCCAGCAAGTATATATAAAGATGCTCAGTGTCAGTCATTATCAGGGAAATGCAAATCAAAACCACAAGGAGATGTCACCCCACACCTATTAAGATTATCATTATGAAAAAGAAAGAAAAGAAAGGAAGAAAGGAGGAAGGACGAAGGAAGGAAGGGAGGGAGGGAGGGAAGAAACAAGTGTTGATGAGGATGCAGAGAAATTGGAACCCACGGGCACTGTTGGTGTGATTGTAAAATGGTGCAGCCACTGTGAAGAATAGTATGAAGGTTTTCCAAAAAATTAAAAGTAGAACTGTCATATGATCCAGGAATCCCACTTCTTAGTATTTATTCTAAAAAAAATTGAATTGAGGATCTTGAAGAGATCTGTACTCCCATGTTTTTTGTAGCATCTTGGGGTTGTTTGTTTAGGAATTCAGTCCACATGCAGACCTTACATAGTATAAAAGTGAAGTGATGATGGGATGAAAAGGGATGGAATTTGATTCAGAGACCTAGGTCTTAGTTGAAACTCCAACCTTTATGGAAAGTCATGTCCTTCTATTATAAGAACTAAATAAGAGAACTTGGATAAGAGTTTTATAACCTATAGCGCACTATACAAATGTTTGTTGTCACTTAAATGAGCAAAACATCAATTCTACTTATTCCTTCCTTTTCACAAAATTAAAACACCCTAAAATTTTGTTTTCTAGTTTTCTCAATTCTGGATTAACTGAGTAATAACTTTTCATGTCTCTTTTTGCCGTTTAGACACACAGGTATTTTATTTTAAAAAACAGTGTACAACAAAGTATCTATATGTGTTTATGTGTATATTAATATATTATCTTAGATGAATCCTTCAAAAATTCTACAGCATTCTTATGTAATAAATTTCAAGGTAATTTTGAAAATATGTTTCTGTATTAAAAACATATTTGATCATGACTATTACTTATCAGCCAGTGAGTCACAAATTTCAGGATAGAAAACTAATCAAGGTTGAAATCACTATAAAATAGAACAGAAAGTTCCGCTAATCAGGTTTTCTGGCATTACATTTCCACTGTTACCACCTGTGCTGGAGAAGGAACAGGAAAGAAGGGAGCACAGTAAGTTAGTCTCCCAAGATGGAGCCATTTAGTTCAGACTGTACTTTCTCCAGCTCTCTAGTGTCATCCATTTGATCACATTGCTTCCGTAGCTCACCATACCAAGTCAGTTCAGCAGCACACCACCACTCGTGGAATGTCAGGAGCCATTGGGGGTGTAAACTATGTACAGCTGAAGTTAATTCTCTGCACAAGCTCATATTACTTATTTGCTTGGTAGTTCCTTCCAAGGGCTGCTAGCCATCCCTTGATTTCTTTGAGCTCACAGTGTCTGATGTAGATTAGATACACAAATTATAGAGATTGGTTAGTTGTTGTAGTTATTCTTATATTTAACCTGATATTCATTTCTTTAAGATAAACTTAGCATGTCTCAATTCTGCTGCCCACCCCTGCCCCCACCTCTGTGTCCTTTCTGGTCCATGATTGTGGAGACTCAGGTTAATTGTTAAAATTTGGCATTACACTTGACCTAGATTTTAATACTGGCTTTTCAATCTATAGTTCTGTGACCCTGAATAAGTTCTTAATCTCACTGAGCTTTGAGTTCTTCATCTATAAAATGGGAATACTACTACCAATTGCAAATGTTTTGTAAAATTGTATGTAATGAGATGTGTAGAATGCTTAGGCCAATGCTGGATAATTTTAAGTCTCTATTTTTTCCTTCATTCTGAAACACATATTTTTTAATAAAAAAATATATTATGAAGAATAACACAACATTCTTATTAATTGTAAGATGAAATGGAGATTTGAAAGAAGTTTTATACATGCTTTGGATTTTCCTGAGCTACATCTTCAGAGTGCTACAGATTCATTTTTATTTTCCTCTGCTATTTCAAGGGAAATTGGGGGAAGCTCTATATATATATTAGTTGGGATTTTTAACAACTGCAAGTGACAGAAAGCATGTGACTTAATGGTTCATATTGCCAAAATGTCAAAGGTAGAATTCAGGCATAGCTGACTCCAGAGTTTAAACGACAGCATACAGTAAGATCTTAATAAATCCTATTATTCTTGCTTAACAATTTTTTCATTTGCTATTTCTCCAATATAGATCAACTTATTCTCTCTTCTCTGACTATATTTTCACTAAGAAAGTCCTCTAAGTGTACTTAGTCCTCCACGTGTAGATGTAATCTTAGCAACTGTGATTCCCAAATGTCATCTTTTTCCAAGTTTGGTTTGAATTCAAACTTTCCCCTACATGGTCCTGCTTGTTCCATTGTCACCATGCTAGCACTAACTTAAAACACATGAAAGTGTTGGCAAGAACCTTCATTAACAGTATTGTCACTGGACTATTTATCTACATGCCAAGTGTAAGTCTCAAGCTTTAATCAAGAAACTTACAACGAGCTAAGATTCTTGCTTTTCTCTCTCTTTTGTTTCATCCTTACCTGGAGGTGATAAATAGAGGACAGACTTGAGTGGAAAAGAAAACAAAAGTTAAAATTTTAGTCCAAAT